CACACACACACACACACACACACACACACACACACACACACACACACACACACACACACACACACACACACACACAATTCACACACGTACACAGCCCCGAGGCCATGACCCGCCACATGCTCTCCACATGTTCCAGATGCAGTGTTGGGCATCCTCCAGCTGCACCTGTAATCATAACCCTTCCATCCTTGCCAGATGAGGAAAAGACACAGCAGCCTGAGGTGGGGAATAGATTTTATGTGACCACCTACAGCTTGCCATACCGAAGTGTTATTGCCACCAGGGCGAGCAGTTGCAGACCAGAATTTGAAACAGCTAAACACCCTGACTTTGAATCAGGCCCCATCATCGCCTGCCCATAAGGAGGTAATATCGGCTGCAGAAACCCAAGAAACTTGCTCAACATGTAATCGGCATGTTTTGTGTCGTAAGGATTATTCCTGTAGCAAACCCCGCTCCTCAACTGAATTTTCCCAGCAACCCAAACACTGACCATCCTCGGTTGCCTTTCCATAGTAGTCTGCTGTGAAGCCTGTGAAGTTTGTCTTCCCTCGTTCTATTTCTTAGTCCCTCCGCTTCTCTCCTCTTGCCGTTTCAGCTTTATCTCTTACGTTGTATAGCACTTCTTCCAACCTTCCCTTTTCCTTCCTTCCTCCCCTTGTGTAGGGCTGCCGAATGTATATGAAAGGTGTGCTCAATAATGAACACGAGTATACCTCTCTCCTTTCCATAGTGTGCAAGTGGGCCGTTATGGCACACAGAGATGTGAGCAGCTCACACTCAACCGCAATCAATGTGGCAAGCCTTGTACATGAGCGCACAGTTAAAGGGGACCTGCAAGAAATACACGAGAAACCACAGAAAAGAGTAAGGAAAGCGGAGAAAGAACTGCAGAAGGAAAACGCTATATAACAGTTTCAGTGTGCTTCACATTAAAGCTGTTTCATTTTGGATATTTTCATCTGGGTGGGGAAAGGGGTTGTTGTGGTGACCGTCTACAACACACATAGCCAGATACACAAAATGATTCTGTGCACCACAGGTGGTTCTGGCTGTCTTTCCAGGCAGGACATCCAGTTCTCGGCTCGATCAGGGCCTGCGAGATGTCCAGCCCAGCCACCAATATGTTTTCAACATTTTTTGAAAGATCTGGGAAAAAGGTGTGCTGTGTAGAATTGGAATACGAACACCTTGGGTGATGATAAAATCAAAATATTAAAATGTAAATTAAAATTCACTATTGTTACGATCCTGGTAATTTCCCAAGTGCAAATTCACAATGAAAGACAATGCCACCCAATTGCGAGAGAAATGAAAGCACTTGCAAAGAGATAAAGACCAGAGGAGAGAGAAAGAAGAAGAAGAAGAAGAAGATGTACACCAGCAAGACCAATGACAATTCCCCCTTCTCTCTCCACCTTCCTCCTCCTCCTTCACTTCACCAATCTTATTCTTCTCTCAATAATAATAACAACAATGAATGGATGAACCAGGATCAATATCCGAAGTTCCCTCTTACTGCTGACTCAACTCAACAACCACAACAACAACAACCAGTCCACCATAGCTATGGATTCCCTCCTTCAACCTCCTCTCTCATGCATAGGCTATGGCGGACTAATGAGGGCCTTGCCCTGACGTCCAAAGGACAACCCAAAGCAGCTATGGTGCTGCGCTGATGTCCAAAGGACAACCCCAAGCAGCTATGCCGCTGCTGACCGGTCCACCATGCCTGACTCCACCTCGAGCTTCCTTGGTGCCGGGCTACCCCAACTGGGGCCTTCCAGATGCAGCGCCCAACAAGGTGATGAAGATGGTGTCTACCATAGCCAGGTAAGTGCCCCGCCACTCTCCTACCATGCCCCCTTCTTCCTCCTCCTCAAGCTGTACTGCTCGCCATAGCCAGGCTGAGCTCCAGCGGCCCTTCACCTCCAAGCAGCGCTGCACCAGTCCAGCGCTGCGCTCCAGCAGCATGTCGCCAATCCTTGCACACCGCAAATGAGGAAGAGCTCTTTGCCCTTCCTGGAGATATAGCGGCCTACCGGCCTCCTGGGCGGTGACTTACTAGGCCGAGCGGCCTCCCAGCAACCGGTACCTCCTCCCTTTCGGAGGGAAACATCATTGCAGGGTCTGCTATCCTCCGTACAGGCCCTAGACCCGGGCTACTTGGACTGGTACCGGCCTACCTCTAACCTACCGCTACTGGGCCTCTAAAAATGCCAACTTTTTGTCTTCTTCTGCTCGGCCTCCAGTGCCCGACACTTCTACCACTACTTCAGTGGTACCGGCCTACCTGCTACTTGAGTGTTTTTCCCCTCTGCTCTAAGTGCCGCGGGCCTACCCCCGCTACTCGAGTGTTTTCCCCCTGCAACCCTTCACAGTCACGGCCACAGGTAACTACCGGCCCTGCGGGGCCTTGCAACCAACAAGTACCCTTGCGGGTCACACACACACTCAACCGACAAGCACTCAGACAGGCATGCAAAACCAGCAGGCACGCACACACACACAGACATGGAAATCACAGCAGAATGCGGGAATTTCAACAAGGCATTCATTCCAGCGGCAAATTACACTATAATACAACCCTTAGAGCTCCCGTATACCGATGGAACTGCCAGTCCATTGGCCACACGAACTTGACAATTAAAATCCAGCGAATCTGGAAATTTTGGGGCGCAGGGCTACCAGATCACAATGGCTGACGGTGCCAGCTGAAAAAAAAGAATAAAGTGCGTGCTGGTTGTTCAGCAGATCTTGGCTTGCAGTGTGCATTGCCCATGGTGGAAAGACGCTCGGATGTACTGGCCCTTTAAGATGAGGAAGTATTGAAGCCCTCTGCACGTTTCTAAAATAACCTTGGACTTGGAATCGATTTGGCATGTGCAAAATAATCGCACTGATTTCTAACCAGGTTCCATAGGACTCGTACAGACCAGATAATGCAGCTGGGCGCCCTGTGGAGACACACTGGCCACGTGGTTTCTTTTCTTTTTTTCGGTCCCCACATAAAGTTTTTGTGCCTTCTGTATCGATGGATGTCGGAATATGGGTGTGCATGCAGAGAGTTGAAAGGTCCTCATCTTAATGTGCCATGTGTGTCCTCATATGAGCAGTCCGGATGTTGTAAGGTCCTTTTTTCTCGCCATCAGTATCATCAGTTGTGAAGCATCTTATTGCATCTGCGACAATTACAAGAGTCTCTAAATTCACTGGAGGGAAAAGCTTATACTTTATTGATGCCTCCCTCGGGAGTCCCTCCTCTGTATGTGGCATTGGTATCAGGCATTGGTATTGGCACTGATAGCAAACTAGTGATGTTTGATGCATCCCTATCGTTGCAACTTCAGCCCATGCCCCACAATGTTTCACTTCATCGCTTGCACTCTGTCGGATTGTTTTCTCGTGAGCAAAGGTGTAACAGCCCTGCCTGTTTTCGGTGCTCTCGTTCTCACTGCATAGATGAGATTGAAGTCCCTGTTGAGTGCATCTGTTATCATCAAGGATGTGAAGCTGGATTTGCAGCCTGGGTTTGCACATGCACCGTGGATGGAGGGTGGAGACACTATGTGGCTTGTTCCTTTTACGATTTCAAGCTTGGCGGAGTCGGCCCTCTTGTTTACCTTGAGGCCAACCACTTGCGATGAAGATCAGTTTGACCAAACCCCCAGAAGCGTCACAACAAAGCTTGTGGGGCAGTTCGGCCCCTCTAGTCCAAACTCACCTGCAGTGACTTCCACAGGTGGCGGCCAGCAGCTAGAAAGTCAGTTTCAGTCAAATTTAGTTCCTTTGCTGCTTGATAGGAAGGTCCCGGAAGTCCTCTCGCCGCGAAGTGAGCAGTATGATTCTGACAGCAGTGTGAAGGTTATCCATGGGGTGGAGAATGCGTCGGGTCTCTTTGGACCAGGTGTTAACGGTGACGATGAGAATGATGGTGACGAAGATGAAGATGAAAACAGTGATGAGGGCACTGGGAGAAAACAGGGAGGAAACAGTTATGCTGTGGACGGGCAGCGAGGTAACATTTCTGGGCATGTTGTCACCGAGAAGAAGCCTATCTGGCGGAGAATATTTTCAGACAGTGCAAGGTTTGTGAGGCGGAGGAGTAAGGACTTGGAGGATGGGGTTGTTGACAACAGCAGAAAGTGCCAAGATAGCAAGACGTCAAAGTCTGGTGATGACGAGGCCACAGGTAATGATGTTGGGGACGGAAATGATGCAGAGAAGTTCATTGAAGAGGATACTGTAACTGACCGGTGCCCAGAAGATGTGGGGGAAAACAATGGCGATGGCAACCAAGAGAGCGTTCCTGTGAGGGTGAGCAACAGTCTTTCAGTTCCATCTAGAATAAAGAAGAAAAGAAAGAAGAAGAAGACGAAGAGGAAGAGGAAGGCCACAAGATTGGATGTTGGGAGGATGGACAGGAGAAGCATTCTCAGAATAGAGTACAAGGTAGCAGGGGACAGGAGAAGGGGCGCACATGCACCGGTTGGAAGTCTAAGCTCGATGGAATCAGAGGAGGTTTCAAGCAGTGGCGATGAGGAAGACGACGTGGAGGACGAGGAGAAAGAAATGGTGGTGGAGGAGGAGGAGGAGACCGATGCACTTCATGGACAATTGAATGATGAAGGCTTATGCGTCTTCACACAGCCGTTCTTGTTGCAGAAGCCTGTGCTGCACCGGCAGTTCGCAGTTGGCTGGCATCCATTGCCAGAGCAGCCGCCTCGCGTCGGGCGGCCGTTCATCTTAAAGTGGAGAATAGAGAGATTGGTAGATTGTGAGGGGGCAGAGGGGGAGAGTTGTCAATGGGGTGGTGAAAGGAGGGAGGTCACAGAATGTGATAGACGGCAGCAGCTTGATGTCTTAGGAGATCCAGAAGAACTGCATTATGAGGTGACTGTAAATGATGAGAACTGGATTCTTGTTGGGAGAAAGAAAGGTAGGATTTACCTTCCGAGACAGAGACATGCACAGGCTACAGTGACAGTTGCAAGTATACCCATCACCACGGGTCACCTCCGCCCCCCTTCGTTACACCTGCTGCATATTCCGAAAGCTCACATATCTCATTCTCCTGCTGGGCCTCATCTGGTATGTGTCTTGCCCCCACCTACCTGCTATTCCTTCTGCACATTGCAGCAGGTATAACCAGGTCCAAACCCTTATTCTAAATCATTTCTGAATTTTATGCTCTATCAATACTGAAATTCTCTTCAAAGAGGCTGGACAGCTCTCTCTCTCTCTCTCTCTCTCTCTCTCTCTCTCTCTCTCTCTCTCTCTCTCTCTCTCTCTCTCTCTCTCTCTCTCTCTCTCTTCCCCCCACAGACACAGACACACTCTATGCTTCTTGTCTCTGTCCTGATTTTGCAGTTTGAGCAGTCTGTTTGATATGGTTTGAATATTCTGAATTATGTGTGAATCTAGTAGGCAATTGCATTTAGATTTTCCTTTTGCAGAGAAGCAGGTTATAAATGTGTCGAAGTGGCAAGTGTTTAGTGGAGGGACCTTGTTGTATCGGTGGCGATACAGGGAGCTCTTCCCCCGAGTTCACCTGCATGCGCTGTTGTGGAATGGTCACAACATTGGGTTGTGATCAGACAGGATAGGTTAATGTCAAACCTGATCCTTTCTTCAGGTTGTCCTTCCCTTTCTTTCCATGTTTGTGTATTTTTAAAGAAATTGAGAATCACTAGCAGTTACCAGTTTTTCGATCCTTCTCTTCTTTTGAATTTGTGTCAAACCTAATCCTTTTTGTTTCATTTGCCTACTTATTGGCCTATTAGTACTGACTTGGTGGCTACGAGCAGGGCTAGTCCCTGCAAGAGGGGCTCCGAGGATGCTGTGTGGGGAGAGTGTGTGTGCATACAGCAACCATGCAAGGCTGGGGTGGATATCGTGCCCTGTACGGTTCTATTGTTGAACACTGGGTCCCAATTGTGGTGGTTAAGGTGTCTGGCTGTTTAGCCCGAGACCACTGGTTCGATTCCTTGGGGGGTCATTCCAACAACGTGGTTATAAGGTATGATTTTGAAGTCTTGTTGCTGGTACCTTATGGCTGATTCTGTGAGTGGGATCTGAGAAGGTGGTGTTTTTGCCTCTAGGATCATTCAACTGGATGCTGCTCTGGTGATGGCATGTTGAAAGAAAATGAAGAAGAAAAAGAGGACGAAGGGAAAGGGTGGAGATATCTTCTTACTATTGAATCCAACCTTATCAGCATAACCTGCTGCCCCCTGCAGCATTGTGATCAAATGGCATTCGAAGTTCAAAGCTTTGTTAGACGGGCCGTCCGGGGGGAGGGGGGCGGTTCAGCCAGGCCAATTACAGGTGGGCTGGGAAGTGCCTCAAGACTTATATTGGTTCTTTTGTCTGATTGTGCGTTGTGGCTGCGGTTGCCAAAAAACATGCAGAATCCACTTGGGCATGCAGACCAGTCTATGAAGTGCTTTCCTCGTATGCAACTCGGATGCAGATCAAACCTTTCATCTGGTTACATCTGGATTCGAACTGGGGTCTGTATTTCAACAGCCCAGGCCAGAACTTCACACATTGGAAATTAGACTGACATTTGTTAAAATTGGAACAATATGGAGAAGATTAGCATGACCCCTGCGCAAGGATGACACCCATAAATGGAGAAATGGTCCAAATTAAAAAGGCGGAAAAAAAAAGACTGATGCTGTTGCAGAACTGTTGCAGAAACGGGGTCACTATGAATGTGTATAAGAAAGGAAAGAATCACAATCGCATGTGACAATCATCATGAGCCTAGGTCTGTGGTCGGCACATGCCAATGTACATGATTGTAGATATGTGAAGACTTGAGGAGTCTGCAAAGTGCTAGATAGCTAGCTTTCCTGACTGGGCGCCCGGGCCACCCCAGGTCGACCGGAATGGCGTTCGGACCTCCTGGCCGTGCAACCCCCGCGGCCAGGCACCTGGGCCCCCTCAGTGCCGACACCAAAACGGCAACTAAAACAAAATCCAGCGCTGCTGCCCTTTGGTGATAGGCCAAAAAAGAGCTGGCAGCGTGCACGTTATTTTTTGGGGTCCGGCAGGCCCTGTTTTAGAGTTCTTTTTTTTTTTTTTTTATCTAGGCCGTCGGTCGGCGGCGAAGTTCGAATTTGAATCCTGGGCCATTTCTGCCCCGCGCATGCCCGCCCTCCGACTGCCGTCCTCTGCCCTCCCACCTTCCACCATGCGCCAGCCGTTGTCCATTGTCGCTGTGCTATCGTTGTCGCCCTGCCCCGCCGCGCCATCATCATCGCTCTGCCACCGTGCCATCATCGTGGCCCTGCCGCCACGCCATCGTCATCGCCCTGCTGCGGCATTGTCGTCGACCGCGCCTTCCCCTTCCCTGACGAAGAGTGTCGCGCCGCCGTCCCGAGGAGAGGTTCGAGGTTTCTTCGTTTTCACTTGTTTTTCTTTTTGTTCTTCTTTTTCTTTTTCGTTTCTTCTTCTTCTTCTTCTTCTTCTTTGTATTCTTCGATTCTTCTTTGATTTTATTTCTTCTCCTTCGTTTCTTGTTTTCTGTTTCTTTTTCAACTCTTTCGCCTTTTCTAACACTTGGGAACTCTTCTTTGTCTTCTTCTTCTTCTTCTTCTTCTTTCTTCTTCTTCTTCTTCTTCTTCTTCTTCTTCTTCTTCTCCTCCTCCTTTGTCGTCGTCGTTCCTTCTTCTTCTTCGTCGTCGTCCCTTCTTCTTCGTTGTCGTCGTTCCTTCTTCTTCGTCGTCGTTGTCGTTCCTTCTTCGTCGTCGTCGTCGTTCCTTCTTCTTCTTCGTCGTCGTTCCTTCTTCTTCGTCGTCGTCGTTCCCTCTTCGTCGTCGTCATCGTTCCTTATTCTTCTTCGTCGTCATTCCTTTGTCGTCGTCGTCGTTCCTTCGTCGTAGTCGTCGTCGTAGTCGTTCCTTCGTCGTCGTCGTCGTCGTTCCTTCGTCGTCGTCGGCGTTCCTTCGTCATCGTCGTCGTCGTCCTTCGACGTCGTCGTCGTCGTTCCTTCGACGTCGTCGTCGTCGTTCCTTCAACGTCGTCGTCGTCGTTCCTTTTTCTTCGTCGTCGTTCCTTCTTCTCCTTTGTCGTCTTTGTCATTCCTTTTTCTTCGTCGTCGCCGTTCCTTCGTCGTCCTCGTCGTCGTTCCTTCTTCGTCGTCGTCGTCCTTCTTCTTTGTCGTTGTCCCTTCTTCTCGTCCTCGTCGTCGTCCCTTCTTCCCTCCGGTGTCGTCGTTCCTCCTTCCCTTCGTCGTCGTTGTCCCTCCTCCCGTTCATCGTCTTCGTTGTCCCTCCTTCCTGTCGTCGTCTTCGTCTTTCCTCCTTTCTGTCGTCGTCTTCGTCTTTCCTCCTTTCTGTCGTCGTCTTCGTCTTTCCTCCTTCCTTTCGTCGTCTTCGTCTTTCCTCCTTCCTTCTTCGTTTTTCCTCCTCCTGTCCTCCTTCCTCCTCTCCTCCTCCTCTCTCCTCTCCCTCCTCTCCCTCTCCTCTCCCTCCCTCTCCCTCCTCTCCGCGTTTGCGCGATTAGTAGAGGAGTAGTTAGAACAAAGAGTTGGAGGAAGGAGTTAGACCAGCTCCTCGAGAAGGGGTGGATTAGGCCCAGTTCATTGCCATTTAGAGCACCTGTTCTCTTTGTCCCCAAGAAAGAGGGAGAGCCGAGAATGTTCATTGACTATAGGGGTCTCAACGTCGATACAGTAAAGAACGCAAAACCACTGGCCCTTATAGATGATCTGTTGGATCGGTTGCAGGGCTTGAAGTACTTCTCAAAGATAGATTTGAAGTCGGGGTACCACCAGATAGAGGTTCACCGTGACAATCAGTACAAAACGACGTTCAGGACTAGATACGGCCACTATCGGTTTATAGTCATGCCCTTTGGACTAACCAACGCGCCGAGCACATTTCATCGTTGTATGAATGATTTGTTTAGGCCGTGGTCAGATAGGTTTGTAGTTGTCTACTTAGATGATATGTTGATTTTTAGTAAGACTCTCCAGGAGCATGAGGCTCGTATGAGGCAGATCTTGGAAAAGTTGCGTGAAGCAAACTTCAAGATCAAAGCGAAGAAGTGCGAGTGGGCCAAGACTGATATTTTTTACTTGGGCCATGTATTCGATGGTGACTGCATAAAGCCTGAGGACAGCAAGATCGCAGCGATCAGAGACTGGCCAACCCGTGGACCCTCACATAATTGAGGTCATTCTTAGGATTGGCTAACTATTATAGGAAGCAATCGCTGCTCCCCTTTGCAGACTAAGAAAGTGGCAATCTGGGCGTTGATAGAGTACCTAGTCCTCAAGGTAGCTGACCCATCCTTACCCTTTGTTGTTACAACTGATGCGAGTGAGTATGGTATTGGTGTTGTCCTACAGCAGGATGATGGCAACAGGTACATACCCGTAGAGTTCATGTCCGCTAGGTTGCCTTATGAGAAGGTAGCGACATCCACCTATGATAGGGTACGCTCTCAGGCAAGCATTAGACCATTGGAGACACTTCTTGCTTGGGAGGCACTTCAAAGTGTATTCAGACCACGAGACATTGAGGTGGCTGAAGACGGAGGCCAAGATGACACCTAAACTTACTAGGTGGGCCGCCGAGG